GTTCACAGTGGTTGTTAACCTTAAAATCAGTGCAGTACTCAGTCACTGAAGCAGAGACTGCTATAGGAAAGCCCAGAAGGAAACTAATTCTGGTGCCAGAGGCAGGTTTGAACAAGCAGCATCAGATGCTGTGCAGCAAGCAGAGGCAGAGCTTTGCATCAAGACGATGGGGTTCTACATTTCCACTTGCTTCCTGCCCTCCTCCCTTCCCTGAACAGCTTTCCTTTGGTCTCTGCTTCTTTCCCTGCTTTGTGCCCATGGCAGCACAAGAGATGGGGTCTCTGCACTCTCCCCCAGGGAATGCCTAGGGAGCAGGGGGAGGGCAGGCTCCACTGGTTGCAGAGGTCCTGCCTGCAATGCAGTGAGGACCACAGAACCCTCCTTCAGGGGGACTTTGGAGCTCTGGGACTGCCACAAGAGGGTCTGCAAAAGGTAGAATGGCAGAATGGTTGGGATTGGAAAGGACCCTAAGATCATCCAATTCCAACCCTCTGCCATGGGCAAGGACACCTCACAGAGACCATGTTGCCCAAGGCTCTGTCCAGTCTGGCCTTGAACACTGCCAGAGATAGGGCATCTAAAACTTGCTTGGGAAGCCTGTTCCAGTAGATTTAAGCCTGTTACCAAGTCTGGACATTGTCTATACTTTGAATAAGCAAAAAATTGTCAGGACCAGAAATCTGGAGAAGGTTGAAGATCGCTTTGGGAACTTGCTGTATAAAACCTCATTAATACCTGCCCTCTCTCCCCACCCCATACCTGAAATGTTGCTAAATTTGATGTGTAGATGAAACAATGATGTTTCTTTTTCTTAGTCTTCAGCTTGGAATCATTTGGACTCTCCCTCTTCCCCACACAAAAGCTGTCTCAGCCAGAGCAAGCATAAATATTTTTATCAGACTTAAATTACTTGGGCTGAAGTTAAAAGCAAGGGAAAAGGGCCTTTGTTATGGGGAGGGCTGGACTGCTGCAGCAGGCAGTGCTACTGGTTTCACCTGTATTATTTAGTCTTTCCATATTAATAAAGGTGTGTTTGATGAGATGTGGGAACGCTCTGCCCTTACCACCATTGCTGCTGTCATGACCAGACTCCACTGACTTCCGTCACTGAGCATCATGACCCTTAAGCTTTAACTGAGGTTAGTGTTTGGTTTCCTGGTGTGAATAGCTGCAGTAGCAAAAGGGCAGTTTTGACCAAGAGAACTTCCTCTGTTCATGTTGAAAACAGACATAATTCTGGCAAATTCATGCAACCTGAAGATGTTGTCACTTCCAGTTTCCATCCTGACTCTCTTCCAGAGGCTGATGCCTGTAGAGCTTGCTGGGAGAAGAGTGTGGGTGCATGCTTCCTGACCTACTCCTGTAAAATCAGCTGGGGTAGCCTAGGCTGTCAGTGTGACCCAGAATGAATTCAGCTGAGCCAGATGGTGATGGAATTGGGGATGTCCGGCCTAACCCCTTCTGCTAGCAGAGCTTGGGGGCAGGTAACCTCCGGAAGCAGTGTGCCTAGGGGCAGTTGGGCATGAGAGAGGCTTGAAGGGTACCAGAGGATCCTAAGGAAGCTGACTTCTTTCAGCCTTAATCATAGAATCATAGAATGGTTTGGGTTTGAAAGGACCTTAGGACAATCTGGTTCTAACCCCCCTGCATGGGCAGGGATGCCTCACACTAGACCATGTTCCCCAAGGCTTTGTCCAGCCTGGCCACCAGGGATGGACCATTTACCACTTCTCTGAGCAACCCATTCCAGTGCCTCACTACCCTCACAATAAAGAATTTTTTCCTTATATCTAACATAAAATTCCCCTGTTTAAACCCATTACCCCTTGTCCTATCACTACAGTCCCCAGTGAAGAGTCCCTCCCCAGCATCCTTATAGGCCCTCTTCAGATACTGGAAGGTAATTCATCTAAGAAATTATCTGGTGATAGTAAACAAGTTCATCTGCAGGGCCAGAGGTCTCGCAGGGCAGAGCATCCTGGTCAGGACTGCAAAAGGAGGCACCTGGCCTCTGGCCATGTTATTTTTAAGCTTGGAAAGCACATGTGGTCTGCGAGAGCATAGCACTAAGGAAAGGACCTCACCAGCGCTTCCTGCCCTGCCCTGGCAGGCTGATAAAGCCCTGTGCAATGCACGGTGACCCCAGTTTATTTTTGAAATGTGGCCAGGATGGAGCTCACTGAATGACTGGAACACCCAGCTTTGGGCACTAATTCACCTTTCATTCATTGCGTGATGAATCAAAGAGTTCATATAAATGTAAAAAGGACAAGAAAGGCCTACAAACCATCTCCAGAGCACTATATGCATAAGGGCATTCATCTGTGCATGCATATGGGATCTAAGAAAAAGAGTAGTTAGTAAATGTTACGCAAGGGAGGGGCACATAGTGTTATCCTGAGCACCGTGTGAATTTTCTTGCTGCTTGGACAATGCACCTCAATCCTGTTCCCTTCTTATTCCAGTCCCAGCCCTCTTCTAAGCAAAGCTATTTGCATGCTGGAGGATACGGTTCCCATGTACAGTAAGGGCTTACATGGAGGAAATCAAACAAAAGCCAGCAGTTTGTTGTGCAGTAATGATAACAGGGCCCACTGGGGTGGATCTGGCTTTATTGCATGCCCTGTGGAGACATAAATGTCATTGCCAGAGATGTTTTCCATCTTGCCCCGATGCCAGGACATTAGGGTTGCTGTGGAACCAAAACACACCAGGAAGGAGCTATTGCAGGCAGAGGGAATTACAGCCCTCAGCTCCTGGTGCACACTTGGTGCCTCACCGTCTCTTCGATCTCTGTGAAACAGCCTCATTCCCACAGCAGGATGAACTGGTTTCTTAGGAATGAGATTATAACTTCTGGTCTGGTTGATAAGGTATTTTATTGATAGACTTTATTCCTGTAACAGAAACCCTTCTCTCCAACACACTTCTGAGGCATTAAAAAGCAGCTGCATTAAATGTCAAAGAAGAAATACTTGTCAGTCTTGTCCTTCTGGTCTCCCCTGTGCTAGGACTGAGGGCTGACGTTCCTAGGAAGAGGTGAACTTGCTGTATCTCAGCAGTGGGTGACAACCTCAGATTGCCCTGTCCTGAGCAGGCACTGGATGGCAATGCCAGCTCTCCAGAAACAGAAATGCCACCTGGGAGGAAACAGCCCAGGCTTTAACCTAGGCACTCTGTTCTAGATCCCTGGGAGGCCTTGTCAGATCCAGGTGGGTACCCCAGCAATAGGACCATGTCCTGGAAAGTGGGGAATTAAATCCTTTCTCCATGATCCCCCTGGCATGGAAAGCTTTATGAAGTGTGAGGTCCAAGCAGCAGAGCCAGTAAGCATACAAAGCAACTCCAAAACACCACTGCAGTCTTGGCCATGCCAAGGGCCTGTGCACAGGGTGATACATGGGACTGTTGGTGGCACACAGTTGCCTGCAGCAAGCACCATGTGTCTCACAGCCATGCTGAGGTCACTTCAAATAGGAGTGAGCTTGGCTGCAAGCACAGCTGCTAAAGGGTTGTATGGGAGAGATGGCTTAGATCAAAGCCATGGTGTTTACCAGTGTCTTCCGAAGATTAATAAACAACCCAGTGCTTTTAAAACCACTGGGGTAAAGGAAACGCTTTCCAGTTCAGCAGTCTTTCTGTCTCTGACCTTTCCCTGTGGTCATGAGGCATCCTGGGGGCCCAGAAGGTTTGCCACAGCCTGATCCTGGTGGTGCAGAAAGGCAGGAAGAGCTTTGCCTGTAATGCCTGCTTAGAAGCACAAACCCATAGACAGGCTTGTTACCACCCAGGTGCACATCACCAGCACTGGCAGTGAAGTTTGCTTTTATACAAGCAGGCTGTGTGGGTCCCCAGGTATGCACAACATGGAAGGTGGCCAGGCCAGCCCTGCCTGTGCTGTTGCCATGTCTGCAATATTTGCCTTATCTTGAGGGAAAGCAGTGCTCATCTCCAGTCCTACCTTTTAATGCCTGGGGAGGTCTTGCCTGCTTCTTTCCCTTTCTGTCCTGAAAATTTTAAAGGAGGGAGGAAGGACATGCCCTCCCACACTGCCCCAACAGCATCACAGTGGCTTGACAGTAGCATGAGCCTTCCCAGTTCTTTTCTTCAGCATTAATTTGGCAAGGGGGCACTTTCATCCCCAGCATTTGCTGATAAAGTCTTGTACTTGGTTCAGCTGTAACAGTTATTTTTCTCCTTAGTAGCTGGTGCTGTGCTGTGGTTTTTACTTTAGTCTGAGGAGATGCTGATAACACACCAATATTTTAGTGGTTACTAAGCAATGCTTACCCCGATCAAGGACTTTTCAGTCTCTCGTGCTCTGCCAGTGAGGAGGGGCACAAGAAGCTGGGAGGAAGCAGAGACAGGACCTGACCCAAACTAGCCAAAGATGTATTCCATACCACAGCACGTCATGCCCAGTATATAAACTGGGGGGAGATACTCAGAAGGGGCAGGTCACTGCTCGGGTTGGGCTTGGTATTGGCCAGTGGGTGGTGAGCAATTGTATTGTGCATCACTTGTGTTTACTGGTTGTTTTTTTTCCCTTCCCTTTTTAGTTTTATATCCTCTCTCCTTGTTATTTCCCTTATTATTATTGTAGTATGTAGTAGTAGTAGTAGTATGTCATTGTAGAAGTAGTAGTTTTGCATTATAGTTTAGTTATTAGACTGTTCTTATCTCAACCCATGGGATTTATATTCTTCCAGTTCTCCTCCCCATCCCTCCAGGAGCAGGAAGGTAAAAGGGGGGAGTGAGCGAGTGTCTATGGGTTCTGAGTTACTGGCTGGGCTTAAACCATGACAAGTCTCCTTGGGAAGCTTGGTTGATAACTTGCAGAAACAGGCATGTGCTTAGGAGCTTCCAGACTCAAGCAGTTTTTTCAGGGTTAGAAAGGATGCCAAAGCTTTTATCCAAAGAAGGGAGTGTCTCATTTTTCTTCTTGAGGGCATATACTCCAAACTGTGGGTCATTCTACCTTTCTTTCTCTTCCAGGGAAGGAACTGCCATGCCCGTGGGAATCTTCCGGGTGTGCCTAGTGGTGATTACAGCTATCGTCAACCACCCGCTCCTCTTCCCTAAAGAGAATGGCACTGTCCCTGAGAACGTGGAAGAAATCATCCAGAAGATGAAGGAGCGGGAGGTGAGCCTTCGGCTGGAGCAGTTGCGCTTGGAGCAGGAGATTGCAGACCAGGAAGCCACACAGAAGGCTGTGGAAAATGCTGCAGAGGTAGTAGAGGGAAGTAAAGAGGAAAAGGTCCGATGGGATATGTGGACTGCCCTTTCCATGGTCATCTTCCTGTTGATCGAGCTCTGGAGGCAGGATTTCCAGGAAGGGTATTGGCAGGACACAGGAGGAGAAGAGGATGACATGGCTGTCCTGGGGAGAGCATTTAAAGGAGTGTCCTTCCCTGACAAGGCCGTCCTGGCCAGCTTCTATGAAAAGCGCATCCTGGGTACCACTGGAGACGTGGCCAGGATGCGGGAGATGGTGGAAGGCTTTGCAGATGACCTGCTGGAGGCCTTGAGGAGTGTTTGTAACCGGGATGCTGACATGGAAGTGGAAGACTGCATGGGTGTGGGGAGCATGTATGAGAACTGGAGAGTGCGTAAACCTTTTGTCTGTGATCTGATAGTGCCTTTTGCTCCCCCAGAGCCATACTGTTTTCAGTGCCAGGCCTGGTGCTCCAGCGACTCTTCTCCCCCAGATGAGCAAGGTTATGGCACTATCAAGGTATGCAGGGCAGATGAGGACGTGACAGGTTGCATCTGTGACAAGACTAAACTAGGGGAAGATATGCTGTGCCTCCTCCATAGCCAAACCAATATTACAAGGCCTAGTAGTGAGATGGAAGACCTCCTATGCTTTAAAAACACTCAATATCTGGATGCTGATCAAGTCATGAAGTGGTTCCAGATCGCAGTCACCAAGGCCTGGAACAGAATCTCTCACAAGTATGAATTTGACCTTTCTTTCAGCCTTCTGGACTCGCCAGGAGCCCTGAAGATCAAATTTAGATCAGGGAAATCGATTGCCTTCAACCTTACCCCTGTGGTGCAGTACGAGAACTCTGACGTGTACTTCATCTCTCACTTCCCTCGGGGTGGCCTGGCAGCCGAGCTCCCCTCCAGCACTCACTGGTTCCTCACCTTTGCAGTGTATGAGAGGAGGTTCATCCAGCTCATCTCCAAAGCGCTGCCTGCCAACGCCTGCCATGTCAGCTGCCTGCAGATCCTCTCCTTTGTCCATGGGAAGCAGTGCAGCCTCACAGGTCCAAGCGGGCTCAGCAACTACCACCTGAAGACGGTGATGCTGCATCTGCTGCAGGCACGTCCCAGTCAGGACTGGGCCCCAGAAAAGCTGGAGGCCCGTCTACAGGACATGCTGAAATACCTGGAGAAATGCTTGCACGAAAAGAAGCTCTACCACTTCTTCATTGGCAATGGGAAGGTACCAGCAGAGCTGGGCTTCCCCATCATATTCCAGAGGGCTGAACCTCTGAACCTTTTCCGTCCCTTTGTGCTACACAGGGACGTTTACAGGAAGACAGTGGACACGTTCCATGAGATGCTCAGGAACATGTCTGCACTGATAAATGAGTACGCGGTGCACATTCCCCTTGCGCACACCAACGGGATCCATAAAGAATCCCTTTAACCAAAGCCAGCGGGAGAACACTTGTTCCTCTAAGCACAAGTCCAGAGGGCAGCTTTCCGAAGCCTCCTGGACACAGCTGACTTTGCCAGTACAGCTTCTTGTCTGCAGCTGAACCAGTCCTGGGCGATGGTTTCTGCAGTAAGGGAGAGGGGATGGGGGAAGGATAGGGAAAACTGGAAGATGTGCTATAAAAGTAAGGTTCTGCTCCACTGGTGCGCTGGCTGGGTTTGATGCAGCTGAGAATATATTTCTCTATTGTGCCTCAGTCACGCTGCAGTGGTGGTGAGCAGCAAATATGACTAATTTATTCAGATGCCTGCAATGCAAACTGTGGTGGTGGTGGCCAAATACTTCATTTCCTTTGGAAAGGGGAGATAAGAAAAGGGTGGAGGAATCAGAAACAGGATCTTGGGATTGCAGGGGCCTGTATGCTTGCGGAGGGCAGCCTACAAGCACAAAGTAAGACTCAGCGCTGATGTGGGGAGGAGGGTGGTGCACAAGATCTGGACTGGATTCAGATCCTGAAGTCAAACACAGCTCTTTAATCAGAAGGGAACTGTAGTGATACAAAAGTGCCTTCTTGATAGGACTTGTAGTAGCTTAAATGGCTTGTCCTGTTGTTCAGAAGCACCCCTGCACATTTCTCCTCCCCAGGGAGGATGCAGCAGAGCAGGCAGCAGGGCCTGTGCCTTCAGGCCATTTCATTTGAGTCTTCCATTTTCTTCGTGGTAACATGGCTAGTGGGTTCTATTCCTGGCCATTTTCCATGGATGAATGGACAGGAACCTTTTTTACCTTAGATAAAAGAGCCATTGTTGAGTTCTGGTGTTTTGGTCTGTTTCTTTTCCTTACCTCAGGGCAGCAAGGCCAAGAACAGCCCAGAGAGGACTGCTGCAGGTTTTGCTTCTGTAAAAGAAGCAGTTCTCCAAAATTATCCTGTAATGAAGCCAGTCCCGGCAGTCTGGTAGCAGGAGGGAACAATCACCCTCTGAATGAGAGCATGCCTCTCCCAGCATGGTTTTAAATAGGCCAAGGCCAGCAGGATGGCCCTGAGTTAGCAGGAGGGGATGGATGAAGGAGGTGCACTTGTAGCAGAGCTTGGCAGCGCTGCCTCTGCAGCTGCCTTGTGGTCTGCACTGCATTCCTCCTGCTCACAGGTACCCAGGCAAAAGCTTGGGTTTGCCTCCCTGTAGGGTCTCCTCAGTCCTTTTAAAGAGTGCTGCTCTGAGGAGGCTCTAAGGAGCTGCTGCTAGTGGGGTAATTTGCAGGAGCATGGCTGGGAAATGACAGCTTCTGCAGGCTTTCCAGCCAGGGGAGGGTCTGGAGTCATGTGCTAAAAACCCCAATGTGCAAATGGAAGTGCCTGAACTCCCTCAGGAAGCTGCTTGTTAGTGCAGTGCCAGTGGGCTGCTCACCCCGGGGAAGTGGCTTTGCTAGAGGAGGGGGCTCAGTAGCTCCTCACCCTCCTTCCTGTGCTTCATGCAAGATCCAATCCAGAGCCTCAGTGCAGATCTGCTTTGTCCTGGTCCTGGCAGCCTGGCTTCCACTGCTAAGGGCCTTTCCTACCATTTTCTTACATTAGAATTTCCTGCCGTGTTTTACACTAGGGCTTCTCTGAACCCGCCTTTCAGGAGGGTCATTGTTCTGGGTGGTGAGACCCATCAGGGATGGCATTACCATCACTCCACAGGTCACTTACAATGAACCATCTCTATCACATGCATACAATCATAGAATAGTTAGGGTTGGAAAGGACCTTAAGATCATCAAGTTCCAACCCCCGTGCCATGGGCAGGGACACCTCACACTAAACCATGTCACCCAAGGCTCTGTCCAACCTGGCCGTGAACACTGCCAGGGATGGAGCATTCACAACTTCCCTGGGCAACACATTCCAGTGCCTCACCACCCTAACAGTAAAGAATTTCCTCCTTATATCCAATCTAAACTTCCCCTGTTTTAAGTTTTAACCCGTTACCCCTTGTCCTATCACGACAGTCCCTAATGAAGAGTCCATCCCCAGCATCCCTATAGGTCCCCTTCAGATACTGGAAGGCTGCTATGAGGTCTCCACGCAGCCTTCTCTTCCCCAGGCTGAACAGCCCCAACTTTCTCAGCCTGTCTTCATACAGGAGGTGCTCGTGTCCTGATCATCCTCATGGCCTCCTCTGGACTTGCTCAAACAGCTCCATGTCCTTCTTATATTGAAGGCATAAGAGAAAATTTAATCCTGTTACCACTACTAGGGACAGCATTCAGAATGAGGCTTATTGCCCAGCCTGTTGATAAGCAGAATCCCCAATGTTCTCTCTTCTCTTTTCCTGGTAGAAAACATTTCACCACCTCTTCGATGTCTGCTCATTTGTGCCTCCATCAGTGAGGGACATTGCGTGCACAAAGGCAGAGAAAGCTGGAACTCCTGTTTCCACACCTGGTTTCTAAGAAGGGGTCAGGGAATCCTTTGTTCAATTGCTGCTCCCCTTGGCTTTTTTATCACAGTTATAGGGTGCTAAAGTAATATTTTGGAGCAGAAAATAAGGGGTAGGAAGCAAAATGGGTTATGCCAATAAGAAAGTCTTGGATCATCAGTGCTTGCTTCATCACCCTTAAGTGATGAGCGCCTGAGAGGCTGCCAGGGCTAGCAGAGCTACAGGGCAGGACTAATTGCTAACGCTAGGGTGCTGTAAGCCACTGGCTTTCATTAGCACATCCAAGCAAGCCTTCCCAACAGGACAGAGCGCAGGAGCAATCTCAGGGGACATGACAAGCAGGTAGTGACAAGCAGAGGTACAGGGAGGGTGGGTGAATACTGGAGCCTGGAGGCTACATTGGAAGCTGTAGAAGTGGTTTGCAAACCCAAGCAATTTGCTGTTTTTACCTGCCTACATTTACTGCACAGTGCCAGTAGCAGATCCAGTTTTACATGTGGTGCTGGCAGGCAGGTCATGCTCAAGCAGCTGTGGTCAGAGTTGCTTCTAAATGTGCTCCCAGGCCAGCCAGAGAGAAATAAAAGTTTCTTTGCTGTTTCCTGACAGGGGTCTAAATTTGGACTGTGCAAAGAAAAGAAAGAAATTGGTGACCCAGGTCTCTCAGGAAATGACGTTCAGGGTTGAAAAATAACTTTTATATAAGGTTGAGCAGGGGGAGGGTGAGAAGAAAAGGCTGTGGAACAGAACAAGGCAACTCCCCTGTTAAGATGTCAGAACAAAGCTCTGTAACTCCAGTCGTATGGGCTTGCAAACGTGCCTAAACTTGTCTTTACACAGCTTCAAGCACTGCTGCTCAGACTCAAAGGGAACCTAAACTGATAAGTGGATAGAATCTTTTGTGCCTGCTCTGCCTTAAGCCCAAACTAACCCTGAAGTGTTCCCATGGGGTTTAGTTGAACCCAAGCTGGAGCTGAACCAAGGAATTCATGGGTTTCATTCCCCTGAAAGCAAATCACTTGGGTTAGTTTTCCTACATGCAATATCTCATTTTGCCCTGAGCACCTTTTAGGAGGCCTGTTCTGCGTATTTAGGCTGAGGGAACCCACTCACACTTGTCCAGGGGGTGAAGTGCTCTGTGATGATAAGCTGTGCTCGAGTAAGCCTGCGGCAGAGATCTTCTTTGTAAGCCGTATATCAGAATATGTACAAGGGGTATATATATGTCCCACCAGGGGAGATGCTGGTGGACAGACACTGGTTTCTCTGGATCAGATGTCTGCAGTGGTACGAGGAGGCCATGATGTGAAGCACACTATTCCTTGAACCGCCTTGTTTCTCCTGTATTAAATCTTTGCCCTATCAGTAAAACCCCACACTCACATTTCATAAAAAGGCTTATAAGACAGTTTAGCTGTCAGCCAGTAAAAATGTCCTAAGACTTTAGTTCCACCTGTGTTTAGTTCTGCCTGGCCATTTATTGGAAGCATCTTGAGGTAGAAGGAAGGGTAGGGGTAGAAGTGGTATTTTGTAGTTTAAAGTGAATAAAGCTCTTTAAAAACCAAACAGCATATGACACATGAGTAACAAACACAAACCATCTCTTTGATAATGCTCGTATCTCCATGAGAGATCCTAATGAAGGGTAAACAGCCTTCCCAGACCCCTTCCTTGTGTCTCAGTGCTGATATTGCTTAACCAGGTGAATGTAACAGATGAATTCCTGCTGTCTTCTGGTTTCAAACCCTCCCTCCCTCAAATGTGGTTTTAATATTTTATTATGGACTCTGTCAAAGCAATGGAATTAATGGTGGTTTGATAGCAGCCACTGATCTACATCATAGCCTCAGGAGCTCTTTGCCTTTAGGAAATGCCTTGGCCTAAGGTTATTCTTGCTGTTCAGGAGCTGAATGCCTTCTAAAGGGAGCTGTTGGGAATTCACTCTTGAGTATGTGGCAACCACAGAACACAGATTCTCAGAGTTGCTTTGTACACAGGTCCTACAGGGCTATAAAGATGTATTTTAGCAAAAGGATCTAAAACGTATCCAGTATTCAAGCAGCAGGATTTGGTGCTTGTGCACCAGATGTTTTTAATGCAGAGTCTTTGCAATGGTTTCTCTGTAATGAAGAAATGAGCCTTTAGCCACCTGTAACAGCTTAGCTGCTGGTCATTGAGGGGTTCGCTCCCATAGGATCCAACATAGCAAATAGCTTTATTTATTACTTGTCTTTTTTAGGATTGGGGGGTACTATGTTAGCTCAAAAGCAAAACTGTAGTATGAAGACCAATCTTAGCAATACAGCTGAGATAGGCAGAAACACCAAAACTCCCCAAACTAAGGTCTTCTTGATCCACAATGCTGTACTCAAACAGCTGCTATTATAGCAGGACACTGTTGAATTTATATAGATTTTCTCATGCAGCTTTATTTATAATAAAGGAAGTCTTGTACAAAACTTAAAGTGTGAAGTCTGTTTGTTTCCAGTTCCCCCAGAACTGTTTCTGAGAGAGCAAAAGGATGGAGCAGGGATATGCCGTGTGAGCCTAGCACAGTGAGCCCAATAGCAAGAGCACCTTTGATTTCTGACTGCCTGTAGAAAAGGTTCCAGAATAAAATGCAACATGAACATAAAGTGGAATAGCGATTGCAGAGTAACACCAGGGATGGATGTCTCAGACTTCCCCAAGAACATGATTCCACAGGAATTCAAAATAATTGTTCTGGATAAACCCTTTTGTGGCAAGCCCTAAATATTGCTGGTAGATGTTACCCTTATTGGCTGAACCAGAAATCTCCTGTACTTCCAGTTCAGCTAGAGGAATCCTTTCTACCTGCTTGTTTAATCCACAGCCAAATTCCAGCAACCACCTACCAGCACTTAGCCTCCTGTTCAACCCCTTTCCCTGGTTTAAGGGTATGGCACCTCCTTGTTAATATTCTAATGTTCTCTGGCTTTGGAAGAAAATCCAAAGCTAGTTATGAATTAATGTAATAAAACCACCACTGTTTCCTTGGTGACATGTCTTCCAGCCCCATGGAATGCTCTGCACACCCTTCATTAATAACTGCCTTCCAGTGATCACTGGGGCTGAATCAGCGTTGAACAGGTCTGAGAACCAGCTAACTTAACAGTTGTAGCACAAGTCTACCTAGATGGGAGTTACCATTTCCCAGGGCCAGCCACACTGTGGTTAAGTGAGTTCTGTAGCCCAGGATAATCCGTAGTGCTGCTTGGTATAGTAAATCTTTGGTATTTACAAACAAAACTAAACTAAACCCACCATGCTTTAAAGCTGAGCAGCTCAGCAACATTTTCTCCACTGAGCTGTTGACTGCCTGGAGCGTTTTTTCCCCCATTTACTGCTTCTGTGTTTCTATGTAACAGAAGAGA